ATGTATGTTTGTTTGTGTGTATGTGTGCATATATGCATAGTTATACATATATATATATATACATATATATATATATAGAGAGAGAGAGAGAGATGTATATATACAGGCTTGCACAAAATCCTACAACATCAAGAGCCTGGACTGCCCTCCCACACAACCCAAACCTCAAAAACGAACCCACCCCCCTAAACCCAAAGCCCTAAACCCTAGACCCCCCTAAGCCTCAGTAAAACCCTAACCCAAAGCCCTAAACCCGAGACCCCCCTAAGCCTCAGTAAAACCCTAAACCGAAAGCCCTAAACCCTAGAACCCCCTAAGCCTCAGTAAAACAATCAAAACCCTACATCCGACACAACGAAACCAAGCCAAAGGCGACCTCGTGAGGCGAATCGACCAGGTTCCGCAGCAGCTTGGAAAGCGTCGACAGTCCCTCTCAGCATGTAGAGTCTGTGGGATTTCGAAGTTGGCGTATATTTCTGGAGTTTAAGGTTTGGGATTTCGAGATTTGGGCTTCGGGATGAAATTGCTGCAGCACGAACTTGTCGTTTGAAACCCTAAAGCCTGAACCCCTACAGCAGCCTTCTAGAACCCACGTAATGTAGGGCCTGAATAATTCGCCTCGGCCCCGGCCCAAGCTGTCACAGGTTCGTATTCGGGTTTCCTCTATTCCCCACCTCTTAATCCCCGCCCCACTAACCACCCCCTAAAACTGGGGGGGCGAGGCCTCTGTGTGAACCTGTAAATGAGCCCCAAGCTCCTGCGGTGGAGTCTCGTCTCCTTGAATGGATTTGGGCTCTCTGTAGGGAGTCCCACCCACCCAACCCCCACTCGCCCTGAGTTGCTACGCAGCCTTCTCCCCCCCCGTCCTCGTCCGTTTCGCCAACCGCGCCTTCAAGGCACCGGCAGTTCGCTGGCCCTCTTTGTTTGCGGCCGGGCCGAGGTGGACGACGCGAAGCGTTTAAAATTAACTAACTCAACACAAAAGGATACAGGAAACCGACACGGTACGCGTGGGCATTGTAAGCATGCAGAGACGGATCCAAAGGCAAACAACCTGCTAGTGTCAATTTGCATCACGTCTGGACATGAGAATGCCATGCAGAAAGGTCTGGGAGCACCGCTATCACGAAGAGCTCGGCGGCTTGTGCAGATCTGCCTGACTTGAACTGACAAGGTCAAAAAGCAACAAGTCTTGAAGCTCAGCGTAGAAACCTCGTTCGAACCAGTGCTGCAGCGATCTTCTCTTTCTGTGACTTCTCTGCAGCCGTTGCAGGCCAGCGAGCGTCCGGCCTACCATCGGGTGCTGCGGAAGCAACAGGGCCTCAGTCCCACACACCATAAGGCTTGAAGCATGCTACAGCCTCTCTACTGTTTCGACGACACTGGGCCTCAGGCGTTGGGAGTTATTGCGGCAGCACCATGACCTCCAGATTTGACTTTTACTTCTCCTTCTCATGCCGGGAGTCGTGCGTCTGGAATCGTCTGGAGCCGTCTAGAGTCTGGGTGTTGCCTGAAACTGTGACAGAGGCACAACGGCCAATAGACCCTTGTGATGTGTAGCCTTGCGACTCGCGGTCAGCTGCCAGCCGACGCAAGGTTCCATGCATACGTCAACGTCAGACGAGGGTCGAACGAACGACCAGAACATCAAAGATCTCTCGGAGGAAGTGGCAACCTGGCTCGAGTGAATCGTGACGACCGTGACGAGTCACGAGTTGTCGCGAGCTGCTGGTCCCAAGTAGAGCCTGCACTCGCTGTGCTTGCGCCGCTTGCCTGTACCAGCGGGCATGCACAATGCAACGGCGGGTTGCTCGCACAGAACCAGTCCGCTCTGAGGGGATGGCTTGCGGCAACCGCGAAGCACAAAAAAAGAAGAAGGACCTCAAGAGCGACAAGGTATCGCGGTCTTGCATTCCCTGCCTCCGCCCAAACACCGGTGCTCTATCTTTGCACCTTCTAACCCAGCTGATAAATAAACCCGCAACAAGTGTCTAGGGACAACACAGCCCACGCCCAGCCAGGTTTGCAATGCACATCTGGCAGGCGCCGATGGATGCAAACTCATTGTGACAAAGAGTCTGGACATCGACCGTTGAGCTAGTCCCTCGGGTGCCTGCAAAGCAACTGGCCAGGCCTAGGCAGGAAACTCAAAAATTGAAGCTTGGCCCTGCTCTGCTCTGCACCCCAAGTCTATCTTCCACTGTGAGCTGCGACGGTTGACCACAGGCAGATGGATCGGTGAGTGAGCGGGGGGACAGCTGTGTGTCGCACCGTGTGTACGTGACGTGTCGTCGGCCGCAAGACTTGCTGGTGCTTCGTTTTGTCTTCAGCACTCACAACTGGGACAAGCCTGGCGAGGTTCCGAGTACATCGACGATAGCACATTGGCCAAGGGCAGGCACGTTCACCACACCCAAAACTCACTCACAACTCACACTCTAATTAAACCCAGCACATCTCATCCATCACACGCCCTGCTTCCAGCCATCACGACCCTTATGCAGGCTTCACGTCCAGAGCACTCAACCGCTCAGGGGCCATATTACTGCTCTGCTTCCATCTCAGCATCAAATTCAGACCTCACTTGCAGTGCAAACATTGCTGTAGATTCCCGTGCTTCGTTTTGTCTTAGGGTTTGGTGGGTGGAGGTACCAATACTGGAGAAATGGTGGGAGAGGCTGCAGCAAGATCCCGGGCAATCACATGAGTCGGCTCAGGCTCTACCCTAATTACTCTCCATGGCACCGGTTGCGGTGGCAAACATTTTGGCAGCTACACCTTCGCCGCCGCAGGCTGCAGGTTTCGAGCCCTGGCTTTCCAAGTTGACTTTAGCTACCACGTCCACGACCACCGCTGCCACTCTGCCACAAACCCACCTCTCTGCAAACACAAATTACTACACCACGTGCTGACTACTACTAATACCACTATCCACTTTACTGCTGCCGCTACCCCGAGTCGGTTACCGTCCATCACGTTCGATGTGTCTTTGGAATCTCATGAATCTCTACAGTAGCGGTTGCTAGACTTCAGTGATTACAAAAATTACCGCCACCCCTGGCGGTTTGGGTTTCAGGGCTCCGGTTTGGTGTTGGCTCTGACAAAAGGCGGTCCACAGCCATCACAACCAGACCGGTGGCGCGGAATCGAAACCTCTTAAGGCCCAGTGAGATCCTGAACGGACTTCTCCCAGACCCTCCATGCTCGAACTCTTGGATCTTGTTTTAAGGATCGTGGGGAACACCTGCCAGCTGCCGAAGAGGAGCCAAACCTTCATCGCGACAACTTCGTTTTGTGGTGCCTGCGTTCCTCGTTCTGGTGTTTGTGTAGAACGGACCAACGACCTTGAGCTGCTGCGGATCCAAACTTACACGCCCAAACCGGGTCGGAAAACATGCGGGGCACTCGTGCAGGAGGAATGCCGGCGGTTGAGGGCGCTCATTCGAGCGCCCGCAGGTTCAACCCTAAGCCCTAAGAACTCTCCGTCGCAACCAGTCGTGGACCGGACCTACGGACCTACAACGAAGCCCCTCGAGCCGAAACGCTCACCCCGCTGTGAGGCCTGGCAGGGGATCGTCTCATTGCTTTGCTTTGGGGGTCTTCCGAGATCTCCAAGCAGTACAGCTCAGCGGACAGTGCTCTGATGACACATCTCGGTATAGATCCTACATCGCTCGAACCAAATCATGACAAGACGCGGATGGCGAAGTCGGAATGTCATCGAAATCCAAGACATCAAGACGACTTGCAACAAGAGTGCGAGCCGGCACAAGACACGAAGGAGAGGAGGGAGGCGCGGTGCGGTAGTGCCGCCTCTGGGGTCGACTGGCGAGGAAGGAACCCGCCAGAAGTCTAAACTACTGAAGATGTATCAGGTGACAGCTGGCTCGTGTAGCGCTGGGCTGCAAATGGCTTGAGCGGTCACAATAGGCAACCGGCAAGGCTCTGGAACGCAAGTCTTCTGCGCTCGTCGTAGCTGTACCTGCGCCGTAGTGCTGCGGTCCATCATGCTGGTAATAATGAGACATGATTGGGTCATGAGGGTCACGGCCGGTGCTTTATGTGTTAGCTTGTCTGCGCATACTATATCATCGAGAGATGTAAACGGGGCAAAGCAGGCTGCGATAGGTCCGAGTATCTGAGTGTCTCGACTGCACCATACTGCTTGCACCCTTGAGTGGCGAACGTGGACACGGGCTTGAAAAGAGCCGCATCCTGAAAACATCGTCGGAGGCATATGCAAGGCACAGTACTTGGACTGTGCCATCGAGATATCACAAGAGCCAGCCGTGTAGAAGCGGCGTCCTCGCCAAAGGAGGCCTCACCTGAGTCAGAGGTGGAGGAAAGCTGGGCAGCCGTTGAAACCTGAGGTCCCCTCACAAATCCTCCATCACCCATGCTGCGATCACCTCGGATAAGCTGCTCCGCTCACATCTTGTCGGCGGTGGAAGAGATCAGGTGCCTGGCTGATGCCAGCTTGAGAGCACACTGCTCGCACCTCGAGGCACCTTCGCAGGATCAATTGCGTCCTGCTACCTGCTGTGCCACCTGTGTTGCGGTAGCTCGCACGATCTTAGTCCTGCGCTCGTGTCTGAAGTTGGCTGTGTGCGCGGCACGACCTTCCAATCTCTCTACAACTAAGCATCAGGCATCAGCTGCTGAGGTACATGCGCAGACCAAATCGCTGCAGTCTTTTCGCCGGAGACGGGTCTGCTGTGCTTAAGAATTGCATCCGTCTCGGCCCACGTGAGAAACGCCAGCCAGCCAAGCAAAATCAATCTCCATTATACTACACTACTCCATCTATGCCAGAAACACCAAGCTGACCACATGGAACACGACAACCGTGCTGGGCTTGTTCTTCTCCTCCAGCCAAGAAAGCGTAACCTTGACCTAGTTTCGGATGCGCAGAGTCAGGAAGGCTCTTCGCCTTTTGGGCTTTTCAGAGCCCAGTCTCTGCCCCTACACTCCCTAAGCACCAGCGGCCGCCTCGGCTCTTTTCAGGCGGCCTTCTTCAGAAAGACAAACTCTTGCAAGAAGCAGCCCGCAGCAGTCCCAGCCAGGAGCATCATGACACCGATGCCTACGGAAGCATTTCCACCTCGGGCACGAAGCAGCTCCAAGCACAGAACTGTCTGACTCCAACATATAGGGCTCTTTCTCTTGCGAGTCGACACAATCATGCCCAAGCCCATGAGTATGAACCAGCAGCCTGCCCGCAAGCTCAGCTCATAGCCACCCTTGCCAAGAGCATTCGCTACTATTGACCATCGTGGCAGGAGAAGGGCCCCGCCCACAAACTCCAGCACGCCGACGATTTGAGAAAGGTCGTGGCGAAGGAAGCCGGCAGCCTTCAATGCCCCGACACCTGTCATGAAAAGTAGAAGCCACCAGTGCAAATAGGCTTGTCTCTTCTCCCACGTTGGAGGCCATGGCGGTGGCGATGGGAACGGCAAGTCGGAAACGGACATGGCTTTCGGGTTCGATGGGAACTCCGCACTCGCTCAAAGCCAGATATACCCACACGTTGGACTCAAGGACGTCCGCTAGCCCTCAAGCCGGGCAGGAAGACCTGCTTTCCTGGAGTTGCGAAGACGGTTGTCTTACTGAAACAGATGATATCACATGATGTGCACTAGCAGATGTACACTAGTCACTAGCAGGTAACTTTGCTATTCCTGCCAAGCAGAATGCACCTTCAAGACGGCCATGGCAGCGTGAAGCCTTGGTACCTCCGCTCGATGCCAGAGTACTGGATGCATGCTGAGCCTGCTTCAACATCTTTCGACACACACACACAAAGCACAATGACGTTTTGTCATCGTTCCGCGGGTCACCAGCAGCTCTTCCCGCTGCGCGGCGCGCCCGCGCAAGCACGCCTTTCGGCGAGGCGTTGTCGCAGACTTGCACCGCTTGACTTGAGACCTCTGGCTGCGCCCCCTGGCTGCGCCCTCTGGCTGCGCAGTATGAAGCAGGCATCCTATGGCATCCTGGTATATCCTGGTGCAGCCCGGCCTCCAGCAGCTGCTCTGAACACTCCTGGCTGAGATGCGGCCTCGGAAAGAGGCAGAGGCAATCATGGAGCAGCGCTTCGAGTAAAACGTGACTCAGATGCCTGACACTTACTGGGCTCTCCCACATCTCTGCCGAGTCCCTTGCTGCCTGCAAAAGCCAAATCCCATGCTGTCATGAGTTCGACTTCCTCACGTTTCTGGTGAGTTTGAACAGAGCCTTGGAGTGGAGCTCTGCCACAGAGCTTTGGATTCCGTCAGAAATACTACTCAGTTCAGGTCCAGCCCTGGAGCCCATGGCCTCCGACCACCGGCACACCACATCGGCAAGAACCTCACGGTCCGAGCACACGACGGCGCATGTGCCATGTTGACCTTCGAGGTGCCTGGGCCACTCTTGGGCTCCTGGCAGCCAGCAGTGGTGGCTTTAGACGGGGGAAGTGCCTGGCCATGCAAGACAGCGAACTCACGACTTGCAGTGGAATGACTTGCAGCCGGAGAGCGGCAGCACCGAGGCGGCCAGTTGCTGCGGAGCCGGGGCAGACAGCCTCGCGGGCGACAAATGGCAACATGGCAGTTCGGACCTGTGCTGCGTCCAATTTCGCTCGGCCCCAGCCGCGCCAACGGTGGAGGCTGTTCGCGGCTGCCTGGTTCACTATCCGTCCACCAGATTTGACACCCTGCAGCATGTGTCGCTGCCTGGCATCCCGGCAAAAAAAGGCACCAGAAGAGGGAGCACGGGGGCCAAAATCCTTTCCTCAGCAAAGGTGGATGCCGAAAGTCAAGCACTCTGCATGCCATGGTCGAGCGAGCTCCCGGCATGCAGGCCTTACAATGCGGCTTTGGAGAATCGCAGAATCGGCATTGAGGAAATGATGGGTAGAAGCTGCCTCCAGGTTTGGTGGCCAACTTCGAAAGCTCGATGATCAACACCTCGTCATGAACTGACTGGTCACGAACTTCCACGACACGCCGTACGGCCAAGTTGTGGGCAAGCAAGAAGGAGGAAAGCCGCGCGTCTGCAGCTCCGATGTACCTGGCAAGCCACGAAACCTCCTGCCAATTGGGAGGCAGTTCTTATGCTGCGTGTGCCAGCCCCCACAGTAATTCAGACGTATCTAAGGACGACAAGCCGTTGACTGTCTGGAGCAAGCCTTCTTCGACGAATGCCGAAACCCCAACCCTCAGGCTACACTTCCAAGTGAAAGGGCTCTGAGAGCACTGGATTGAGAGGTGCAGACTGCCTGCGTCTGCCGAACGCAGAAGCTAAGGTAGGCACCAAAGCAGCTTTGGCCAGGCACTTGCCCACTGCAGGCAGGCGTTGGGTTTCGCCTGGTGTGGCGGGCATGACTCGCCGTGGCAAACCTGAAACATAAAAACGTTGAACACATGCATCATCTCAAAAGCATTGAAGCCCCAGGACCTCCAAACTCCCCACCTCGCATCATTCTCAGGTGTGGACTATGATTTTGCGAATCTTTGTGTATCTATTACATAAATTGAATAGTTCTTTTATTGTACTTACTCTTATGTCAGCTCAACTCCTCTGACGTCTCGAAGCTTTGCTGATGATCATGTCGCAACATGTGTCGAAGCCATGCCTCCTCTGCGAAGTCTGCAAGGCAAACTTCGCCTTGCTGCAGCAGCACCTGAAACGGGGCTGCTCGAGTCCACCGAGCAGGCACCCTAATGCAATTGTGATGTGCTCGTGCGATCGCGATCTCGTGCACCTCGGGCCAGGAACGCTGAAGTCCTGCGGGGATGTCTGGGGCTCTGCTCGGGCGAAGGCCTGGCAGCTTGCCGCGAGCATGTTTGGACATGCCGAGGCACACCAGTGCAAGCGGGAGCAACCAGTAGTTCCAGTGATTGCAGGATTCTGGCTCATACTTGTAGCCCTTTTGCTTGCCTAGCAAGGAAGCAGTCAGCGGGACGGAAAGCCTGAGGAGCCAGCATCACTCGACGGATTCACAAAACAATCGAGAGGAAGTCACTAGGAACTGTCGACAGGCTCACCTGTTGCGAACTGCATGGAGCTGAGATCCGAGACAGGGAAGCAGGCGTGGCAACCACTTCCTCGCAGTTTAGAGCAACTGCAGACTTGGGCCCGATTTGCCCAGGTTTCAACTGCAAGCAAGGAGAGTACAGCGAGGCTCCTCGCCAGCCTCACCTTACCGGGCAGACGGAAGGAAGGCATGAATTCGTTCAATGTCTTTCTAGCACCCTTTTTGAACAACAACCCCCTTCGCCGACAAGCTCATGCGCAAAGAGGCCAACAGATCTACCAACTGGCCAATGACTCATGACGAAGGAACGGCCAGCCAAGCCCTGATACCCAAAAACCATTCCAGGAGCACCCCTGAAGCTCCCAAGTCCAAAGTGCGACAGCCTGCAATGCTTTTCGAACCTGCTTCTGCAGCCAACTCTGCTCACCCAATAGGGCACACCTTTCTTGGGCCAGCGGCTATAGTGGTTGCTGTACAACCTGCAAGTTTCCCCTAGCAACGGAGCAGTCGTCAGACTGCCCAAAGGCATGGATCTGCAGGATCGACATCTCTGGCCACACAGACCAAGACTTGCCAAGACATTGGCTCTAGCAATTATCTGCAATCTTCGTCGGATCGGCAAACACATACTGTCAGAAGATCCAAGCAGGTTTACGGGCTGAACACCGTAACGGAACGCTAAACATTTTAATCGCATCCGTCACCATTCCGCGCATACATGCTGCATCGAACCAGATCGGATGCAGCTCCCAAGGTTGCAAAGTCATCGGCCACTTGCTATGCAGTTGTTGCATTTCCGCTTGCTCGCTGGCTTGATCAACTGCGAGCCACTGCAGTTGATCGCAGTCACCGCAATTCCGCAGGTAGAACCTCAGTCATTGCAGGGTTCGTGAATAGCATGATGGACGTCAGCAATATTACCACCTCAATGCATGCCTGAGATGCGGCGAGCGGCATTTCTTGGTGGCAGTTGCGTTAGCTGCTGCAAGTGCTGGGGGCTGGCTCATCGGGCCTGCAACGTCAACATTACATCGCAGAGATATGAAAGGCCATCATCCCGACACTTCCCTTGTGTGGCCCGTCCAGCACGAGCAAGTCAGCGAGCCTATTCCGCTTCGATATTGCCCAGCACAGGTCGCGTTACGCATCATCCAACACAACAATGTAGAATGCTGCCGCCACTTTGCCGAAAAAACACAACTCGACTACGGTCATGCTACACGCAGTTGGCCTGCAAACTTCTTCTTGATCTCTTTTTCCGGAGGCAAATACGACTTGTTTTGTTGCTTGTCAATGCACTCCTGGAGCAGGAACTTGAAGAGCAGAGCTGTGGCAGAGTCTCGGACTATCTGCAGAACACTCGCAAGCTTGCCATGCTCCTTGCATGTCCGCTTGCCGGGCGGCCGACGCAGCTGCTGCTTCGAGAATTCCTTTCCTGCTCCGATGCACCACTTGCGCTTTGAGGGATGACCCACGCAGTGGCATCTCGCTTCACAGTGCTCTCATGCTCTCATAATTCGTTTGGGCCGCGGCAGAAGCAGTCAGAGGCTTGCACACAGACCCCATGCCGCCCATGCCCACGCTTCATAACTCTACGTCCCATCCCCAAGATGCGCCAAGTCCCACCTTTCACTGCTGCTTAGTCAGGCTCCACCATACCCGACCCACCCCCCGGTCCGATGCTTTGCTTTCTTGTCCGGGCTGTACGCGGGAACATGTCTGATCTTGATACACATCTCCGGCCGGGCCGGGGGGACGATGCGAAGCGTTTACGATGAACTTATTTGCCCCGCCTTCTAGATCGCAAACGCAGCACACGGTGGCCGTTGGGAACGCAAGCGCATTCTCGACCAGTCGCAGTGCGACATCGGGCTTGAAGTCTTCCCGATATGCCAAGTCCCACATGAACTCCTGGACCGGAGCAGAGGCAGTGGCTCTTGGACTTAAGGTACCGTCTCTGACGTGGATTTCTCTCTCTGTCCTCGTTGATCTGCTCGAGGGATCTATCCTTGCTCGTAAGCGACAGCCAGGAACATGCCATGAGCCAAAGACTGAGAGGACATTAAAGAAATCCCCCAAAACAGCAAGTCGTCCGGGAGCCCCCGACTGGGCCCTTCACAACTTCCGATTAGACTTGTGGAAGCACCGTTTCAACAACCGCAAATCCCTGCGCAGTAAAGCATGCACGTAAGGCTCGTCATCGTCATCATCCATGGTGTTATCTTCCTCCTGACAGAAAAGCCAAAACAGCCTGTCAGTGCAGCAGTGCACAACTGTCCTCCGACCAGAAGTCATCGCTTCCCTCTTCATCGGCGATCTTCTTGAATTTCACAATTAGCGAATCAACCATGTCCAGGTCAAGGGGCATCCTCAATTTTGCCAGGGTTCCCAAGTCCAACGAAAAATGTCACGCACAGAACGCATCGAAATACGGGCCTGCGTTTTCGAACACTAATATATCTCACCAGCCCAATTAAATCCAAGTGAACTAGAAAATTCCTGGGTACGAAAATGTCGGAAGAGTTTACCATCAATTGCGAAGGAGCCCGGACTAAACCCGGAGGCCCACGGCATCCGGGACCTGGAGGCCGGAGAGCACGGGGGGGGGGGGGGGAA